GAGTTCGCACCTATTTTTTATTGGCGAACAACTATCATTATTGCTCTTGATCTAATTGAGGACCTTTTTGCCTCTATAAGGGCTCACTTTTGTTGTCACACTTGTAGAGGTTACCATAAAAATATATTGTCAACTTATGCTACATAACATGACCTTGTGTAAGCTCATTACAATTTCATTGTTGAACATTTAATTGCATAAATCATTCTTTATAAACTAATCAACGTAGTTCATCAATATGTAGCTTGTAAGTGCAAGATGTTATATTTTTAAAATATAACAATTTAATCAAGTATTAGTATACTCAATAATTCTTTAACATCATGTGTTTTTCATAATTTAAGTTTGATGCATAATAATTTAGTCACGAAGAGAAGGATGTAGACATGCACTTTCTAATATGAAGACTTTCCAAGCATTGAGTACATGCAAATTTAAATAGATATAAATTTACATATAAAAGACTAAAACATACTTGCTTCTAAATTAGAATATCTTACCCAACTACCTATTTTTAATATTACAAACTTCCTTGTTACGATCGCCTCGAAACTTGTTATTCTATTTTCAATCTATGAAATATAAATTTCTCAAATTAACAATACCCCAACTTATATATCATTTTAAAATCAAAATAACCTCAAAATAACCTTTTACATCAAATTAACTTCTCATAAATGCCTCCATGCTGGTGTTTTTTTTTTTTTTTTTTTTTTTTTTTTTTTTTTTTTTTTTTTTTCTGTTGTTTTCCTTCTTTGTTTCTTGCTTTCTATTGTTGGTCTCTGTGTTATTTGGCTGTCCTGTGTTGGCTTCTCATAGTCTATTTGAAAATGCAAATGTTAGAGCCGAAGAGCATTATGCAAAACTCTTCACACAAAGTGCTCAACCTTCTTTACCAAATTCTCCATTAAAATTTCAACAAATCTTGACCCATTCAAATTAAAACTCTATCCTTATCTTTATTCAAATCTGAGTGTAAAACAGTATCCTAGGAGTTTCTTTTTTGCATCAAATAAACCCAAAGGGATTTTAATATCACTCACCCAAACCATTCGAAGTTTTGAACCAAGAGAACCAACCCATATGAATACAGGCAACCTAGTCAATTACTTGCTCAGACATTCGTATTCTAGCATTCTAGCAATCGGCTAGCGGCCTTCATCTTTCAGCAGCACTCAGCCGGTGGTGAAATACTGGTTGGCGCCACATTTGCTTCATTCTTCATTCAAGTTGGGTTTAATACCCTCCTATATCATTTTTCTTATTTTTTTTCCTTTTTATACTTTCCATTTGTATGTTATAATTTCCTTATTCGCTTCATGAAAGTTTAAACATTGTATCATTACAAATATATATTTATGCTTATGTTACTTTATATCTTTAAAGCTTAGCTTTCATCATTATAAACATGATAACTTTTAAACATAATAATCGAATAATTAAATAAAATACTGTATTTATTAATAAAATAAAGTAACGTAAACAACAATAATTACCCACTTTAATTGCTTTCATATGTTTAGATTCCTTCCAAATCTTCAATTCTCTGAAATAGACCCAATTCTCGTCTCAACTCAACTATGGAAATCTTCCACTGCTCCAAATAAATTTAATTTAATTAATTATCATTAAATAGCTTTATGAAAATTAAATGTCTTCATAACAACATTAAATTTATTTGACAACAATAAGGGTAACTTCAAGTACATCAAACATCATCTCATAATATGTAACATTGCACATTTCTTATTTCTCAAACCCATATTTCCAAATACATTGCACATATAATTTCCTAAAGTAGATTGAAAATTTCAATTATCTCACATGCATTATTTTCTTACCTTAATTTTGATTCTTCCTTGCCAAAATCAACTTTCACCAACTTAATTTCCTTCCCATCGAAAGAACACACACTATTGCTTTCCATCAAGGAATAAATTTATATATTTTATTTTGCAAATTTGAATAGAAAAAGAATATAAAATTTGAAATCACTTACAAAGAAATTTCCCAACACAATTTCTTCCTTTTTCTCTCCCAAATTTTCTTCCTCTGCATTCCGTTCAACTATAGATTCGATTCTCAAACTTAGATTACGAATAATTTATACCAAAAGCACAAAAAATATATGAACTTATCTTCTTTCTCTCTCGGTCGATTTCCTTTGACACAGAACTTCTCACGGTATTTTCTCCTGTAGGAGTGTGCGAACAGAAGATATGACTCATGAGTAGTCGTTCTTATTCATTCCCGCACGCATTCCTTCGCTCAGATCCACGAACCGACCTTGTTCGAAGCCTCCGTGCATGCTTGCAGTCCACTCGGTCTGCTGCCTGTATTCAGTCTCATTTGGTAACGTTCCCTGCTTGCATGATTTAATGGTTAGGGAATTGAGCCGCCAATTTAAACCGGCTCTTACACTTGGGTTCATCAATTTCTACATTGTGGCCATGCAATTTGGATTTATGAACCCATCCAAGAATAAACTTAAATCTATTCCCTATCAGTTTTTAAATTTTATGTCAACTCATCTTTAAAACCAACCAAATGGCTTAACTCCACCAAAGGATTTATCTCTTCACATAGCTTATCCATGCTTAACAAGTTTAAGCTAAAGGTAAGTGGGAACCAAGGAGGCTTTGATGGAGATAAGCCAAGGGTAACTGTTCTCTCTCCCACCCCTCCCTTTACATCCTTCTACTTTCCTTCTCTCTCCCCCCTCCTCCCTCTGTCTCCCTCTTTCTCCACCCTCTCAACCTCCTGCTTTGTCTCTTTTTCCCCCACCTTTCCTGCCTGTCACCCACTCTCTTTCTGTCTCCCGCTTACTTATCTCTCCTTGCCTCTCCTAAGTCTCATTCCCTCTCTTTTGCCTTTCACCCTATAGCAAGTTACTGCTTCACTCGTTCCCTGTTACAGGATGAAATGAGTTTGAAGAGCATACCATGAGACAGCTACATCCTTATTCATTGCAGTAATGATGCAGGACAGGTATTGCCCAGTCATTCCTAAAACTCTCTGCCTATCGTTGACCTTAAAACCACCAAAAGAAATTCCCTAAAACCTTCCATAGATCAAGGTTTTAAAAGGTGAAATCGGGATTCGAGGCGCTTTTTCTAAGCGAGGCGAGGCGTAAGCCTCGAGGCGGATCGAGGCGTAAGCCTCAAAACGATTAAAATAAATTAATTTAAAATTTTAAATAATGACAAAAAATAACAATTATTTGTACTACCAATAATAAAATAACATGAATACAAAATAAAACCAGTCTGCCGGAGGTCCAAGGGGGCGCTGCCCCCTGGCGGGGTTCGACCTGTAATTCAGGTCGCGGGGTCAAGGGGCAGCGCTCCTGCGGGGCCACGGAACAAAATTATATTATAAGAGTAATTTTAAAATTCTGGTTGTTATATATGCTCAATACCGAGCGTACCGAGCATGTACCACTCAGTACCGTGCCAGTACCGCTCAGTACCGAGCCAATACCGCTCAGTATCGAGCATACGACGTAATTTACATGTAATTTATATTAATTAGGCTAATTATATTAAAATTTAATTAATAATACTAATTATTAAATTAAGTTAAAATAGATAATTAATTCATGCACTAATTATATTATTAATTATTTAATTAATTTGTTTAATTATTAATATTTTAAATTATATTAACTAAGTTAATCAATAATAACTTAGCTGCGTCTACGGTTTTCCTTTCATCTTCTCTTTTCGTCCTTGCTGTTCAGCTTCGTTGCTTCACAGGAGGTGTAGAGACTGCACGCGTCGCTTCTTTGGCTCCTTCGTGGCTGTTCAACTTTGCTCCTTCGACGACTTTCCCTTTCCTGTCGGATCGTAAGCTATAACATTTTGATCGGAAGAAACAACGGGAGCTCGCTGACTGTGAAGGTAACTTTCTCGCTTTCGAGGCACTGCCTCGATGCTCCTCGACGCCTCACGCGGTGAGGCGTACGCCTCCATGGAAAAAGGCGTAAGCCTCGCCCGAACGTTCGAGGCTTAAGCCTCAGTTCGCCCGACCTCCGCCTTGAGGCTTTCGCCTCGAACGCCTTTTTAATCGCTGCCATAGATTACTATCAATTAATCAAGAAATAGGAAAGCTATTGCATCTATCAATTGTTTTTAATCCCCATCTTAGTCCAATGACGCATCAGGTAGAGGTTGTAATAGTTCCTTAATTTATTTTCAAAATTGATTTTTCAAGAAATTTTTTTATCCAACTTTGAATGCCAAAAACACTAATCATGTTTATGATCTCCTTAGCAATATAGCTCAATGCAACTACTTCATTATTTACTCATCAATCTCAGAAATATCATCTTTTTAACTCATCGACTAGTTTTCTAATCCTATCCTTGACTTTCTGAAATTGTCATTTGATAGTGCCCTTAACAGTACATTTCTTGCAAACGTACCATATGTCTTCTTTTAATCATCATGACCACAAATTCGTTGGTTTTGCCACTTAAAATTCTCAAATTTCACATAAGCAAATCCGAACAATTTCAAATTTAATCAATGTTTATACATTTTTCTCCAAGCCTGGTTGAAGTTGTGATTTCACTCGACTGCTGCTTAACAATGCCTAGCTAAGTTGTGGGCTTCTCTTTTGGAGGCATCCTAATCATTTCCTACTTATCAAAATCGGGTTATTTTGTAGCATGCCATTTCTAGGGAACTTCTAAGTACAAGAATTAATTTAGATTCAAATTAATTATATTGTTAAACAAGTAGGCTCTCTGTTTATAATAGAGTGAAACCTCCCAAATAAATAGCAAAATGAGCCAACAATCCCAAATGAGCTGCTTTCAACTTTATGACTGCTAGTGCTGGCTATTTAATACTCTTATTTTCCACGTGATTTGTATTATAATCATAAAATTATAAAAAGAATCGACATTTCCTGAACTCTATACAGTTATCTTTCTCGGCAATTTTGCTATGGATACATTATTTGTCAGTATACATTTTTTATTCTTTAACATGACACAGAAATTCAGATTGTACCTGAAAAGGATTAGCGGTGTGACTCAACATCAAGCTGCACTTCCCAGCTTGTTCTGCAACCAGGTAGATGCAAAAACAAAATGTGGTTCGTTGGGAAGTCTGGATTTCCACTCACTTGCTGCCTCAGGTCAAATACCTCAACAGACCCTTGCTGCTTTGCATGCTGAGCTCTTGTGCCATCCTTCAAACAACATAGTATTCCCTGCAGTGGACCAGCCAGTCCTATTACAAGCTTCAAACCAAGGCTCCAAGTTTTTGCCATTGGAAAAGGAAGTGGCATTTGGTCAGCCACTATTTAAATGCCAATCGGGAATGCAGAAGCAGTTACCTCCATCCGAAATTACTGTTCATGGCATGTCTCCTGGATTTTCATCCTGGTCATCTAATCAGCTTGGTGTTACAGGTTCTAACAATAAACATGCAGGATTGAGCAACATTCAAAACAATAGTTTGCTGATGCAAATGTTACAACACCAACAGCAGCAGGAGCATCATCAAGAATCATTTCACTATATGGTCTCAGATTCAAATAATGCAATCAATGTACAACCTTCATGTCTTGTAGTTTCATCTCAGTCTCCAAGCGGTATAACTGTTGGGTGCAACTCAGGGCCCATAAATCAGAAGTCGTTGGTTCTATCCCCTCAACCATCAAGCAATATTCAGTTAGGAAACAATTCACTGTTGGCATCCTCAAATTCTACTTCAAATAGCAGTAATTCTCGCTTAAACAATCCACCATTGGGCATGCCACCTGCGGCAAATGGAGATTTCAAGGATATTGGCATGTTAAGTACATATTATCCTACATCTTCATTATCATCTAGTTCAGTTTGCACAAGCAGTGCTGCTGGTTGGCGACCACAGAATAACATGAAAATCAGTTCTATTAACCAGAGGGCTGATCAATTACCAAAATTGTACATTCAGGGTTCTGAACAGATCGCAGGTGCATCAGTAAACCAAGGGCAATTTAGAAATCTCGGTTTTGTTGGTAAAGGTACATGCATACCCAGTAGGTTTGCTGTAGATGATCTTGAATCACCTACTAATGACAAGGGCTTTACAAAAACAAGCACATTTGATGATGTCGAGAAAGTCAAGCAAGAGCTCAATTTGGATTTTCTTGATGGTACTAAAAAAGTTGGAAACGCAATGCTCCCAAATTTCCCCTCAACTGATTTCTTGGGGTCTCTGTCCAAGTATGTGTGATAATTACTTGAAACTCCCCCTTTTCTGGTTTTTACTGAAAAACATAATGAAATGCATTTAGCATGTTTTTTATTCCAATTTTTTTTTTTTTGATGTGAAAACATTACCTTTTTTTCATGATTATTTCTTTTGCCTTTGGTTTAAATCAGTTTGCTGTATGAAAAAAATTAAGAAATAAGTTTCCTATCTTTCAATTTTGGATATTAACAGTCTGATTAGGTTTGCAATATTCTGACTTTTTGTCTTCTTAAGAAATATATTTCCGTGCTGTCTTATAAGAAATATATTATTGGATGGACGTTGCTCTTCATATCTTAGGATTTCAAGTTTTTAGCAATTTCAAATTTGTATGTTCTCCCCATCTTCATGAAATAGACTATTACATATTTACATCTATTCGGAACCTTTGTCTGATAGATCGGAGTTTCAGCGGTTGTGATAATCCTTGTCCTCCTGAGATATTCTTGTAGAAAATCTTTTGCAACTCTTTTGTTTGCTCATCCTAATGAGCGCCTTAATAGTTTCCATATCATGGTGATGCACAATGTTTTATGTTTTAGGTTTTTTTAATGAAATGTCTATGATTAGGCGTAAAATGTCACATGATAAGTTTCAAATCGAAAACCCCTGTTTTTGACAACTATTTGTTATTTTGTATGAATATAAAAATATTAAAAATCCAACACACAATTTAGTTGCCATCTATTATAAATATTATATAGAAATTCACAAGCATAGAAATCATTTGTTAGATTGAAAATCATCAATGTTATAAAAGGCGGAATCAGGAGGTGAGGCGTAAGCCTCAAAATAAAAATAATAAAGTACTAAAATAATTATAAATAATTCACAAAATGTCAAAATAATATTCTTATCCTCATCACATTTCCAAAACTGACCAAGAAAATATTTCTTTCATTCCAAATGTTCGAATGAAGCTTGGCCAAGAAAATATGACAAATATCTTTGATTCTTTAGCATCGTCTTTGATAAAAAGGACTATATGAAGCAAAGTTGATAAATATTGGTACAAACATTTGAGAGAGCTACCAACATGCCTTAACAAAAAATTGATAAATATTTGATTTAGAAAATGCCTCTTTGAGAGAACAACTAGAAGAGTCGATGCTAGAATTCAAGCCGCTTACTTTTGATTCGAAATAGGTCGAATGTGAGGAAAGTGCCTTACCTTTGCTGCGAGCTCTTGTTGGATCAAGTTAAACACGGCACTACAAGCTCCTGTTGGGCAGACGAACCCTACAAGAAGCAGGCGAGGCCGAAGTTACACAACTATCTAAATTCTGCTTCTCACGAAGCAGTCGAACTCTACACGAGCTTGAAAGGAAAGATTGGTTGTTACCTCTTGCTTGGAAGAACTTGTCATGACATGAAGTAGGTGAGGTCGCTTGCTTCGAAGATCGTGTCTGGACACGAAGCGGGCGAGGCGAAGCAGTCAAGGGCCTCGAGGCAAGCGAGGCCGAAGCAGTTGAGATAGAGGAGGCCGAAGCAGTGTACACGGAGGAGAAGTAGAACAAGAGAGCGAGGCCGAAGCATTGTACATGAAGGAACGAGAGAGAATGAGAACTAGAACGAGATAGTGTTACAATTGCGGAAGTGCTTCGAAACAGAAGAAGTCCCAAGTATAAATAAGCGCGCTTGACTCACGCACGAATTTTCCAAAATTGAAGTATATTTAAATGAATCGAGGCAGCGCCTTGAACTGCCTCGACACATTAGGCCTTGAGGCGTACGCCTCAATGAAAAAGGCACAAGTTTTGTTCAAGCAGTCGAGGCTTAAGCCTTAGTGCGCCCACGCTGTGCCTCGATGGGAGGCGCGCCTCGAGGTGTCCGCCTCTAATATTTTTTAAAACCATGAAAATCAGACTACTATTGAAACCCAAATTATACTAAATTCGATAAAACTCAATCACATACACAAGCAAATAACTAGAAATTAGAGAAGAAAAATGAGAATATGTAACAAATAATTGAGAAGTTGAATCGAGCCTTAAGATTATAGAAAGAAATAGCTTTCCCTGGAAAAGTTCAATCTCTGGTTACACTGGAGTTCATAAAAGGCCCAAGGAATTACATCCAACTAAAAGTAGAATCATCATTGGATGTTTTTTTACATGCTTTAGATCCCCACATTTATAATCACAAAAGACCTGTCACAATTAAAAAAAAAAATAGTTGACACATGTTGCATAAATATTTGGCATCCCATTGACTTCAAAATTGAAGGAATTTGTAGAAATCCTCTAAACAAAATAGAAACAGCCCTATCTTATTGTATGAAATCATGTAACTACTGTGATTGTCTAATCGCTAGGCTACAAACTTGCTGCCATGATGGCAAGGGCCATTGAATGTACAGTAATAGAAGGGATGCAATAACAAAAGAGATTATGAGAGCGAAACAAAGAATTGAAGACCAACCTAAGTTGAGATCTGGAACCAACAAAACGAAGAAGCTGCTAGCCAAAATAGATAAGCCAAACAAATCCAGTACAACCTATTCAGAAGATTCATATAATACAACCTATTCTTATAATAGGGAATATAATAAGAATGCCTCAAAGATAAATTTATAATTATAAATTTCATTAAAAAAAAAAAAGAATGCCTTAATAGAAAAACTAAATTTGAAATTTTTAGAAAAAAAAATACTGACGTAAATAATCTCTCAATTTGTTCTTCTTAATGGACGCTTGCATTTCTAGTGGGCAGTGACTATATATAGTGCGATTCAAATCAATTCTATATTACTTGAAAAAAAAATTGGCCCCAATGAATTTTCAGTTGATATTTGTCAAGTACATATCAGCTTAATTGTTGTACCTCCTGTAGAGTAATCTGTGTCATGACTTACAGTCCTGCCACACTAGTAGGCCTTTGGTATGCACCATTAATAGTATACACATTTATTATAACTTCTAGCATAAGGCATTTGTGATTGCCTAGAAAGTGTTAGATGGAAGAATTCAATATATTGGTTGTCAGTTTTTGATATAAAGTCAGATAAGATACATTAATGGTTGAACCAATGTTAGAATTTTTTTGGAAGCTCTACTTGTAAGCATTCCTCCCAAGATCTTGTATGATTTATACAGTCTTAATTTTCAATAGCAAATTTCTTAATTATTATAAACAACTTTTTGGATGTAAATGAAACATTATTTTATCACCTTGTTTGAATTTCTGGTATCTTTTGTTCATATTTGTAATTGACTTATATTTATCACAATTAACAATCAATTTTATACAAATATGCTCATGCAATTAATGCATGTATTATGCTAATATTTGTGTAACTTTATTTGGTGTAAACTCAATAGTAAGTACATTAGATTTACAAGTTTTATATGTTGGAATCTTATGACTATTTTGGATGAATTTGTGTTTGCAGATTTATTAATAATTGAATTGTATCCAAGCTCAATCTTATGTATTAGTTTTTCAAAATGAGACCTATTTAAATCATACAACTAAGATTGAACCAAAATAATATTTGATATATCCTTGAGCAAAGCGTCACCTTCAATCTTATCACTATATGTAGCAGGTTAAATGGGCATTAAGCATCTATGTAATAGAAATGGAAGTCGTATTTACCCTTGCTAATTTATATGGTTATGAATATGATTTAGATTTTAGTTTCATTAAATTAAATTTCCTACTTGGTCATATTATTGATAGAACATCAGATATCTACAGTAATAAGCTTATGTAGCTTTTCATCTTGTTGTAAATATGTTTTCCCGTCAAATTCAATTTTAGCTATGATAGTAATACATCTTATAACATAGAAAGAATTTTCTATTGGAGCATCATCATAATCATTCGTTTCTTTATTAAATTCATGAATATAATCTCCCTTTCTAATATTATTGTCATATTTCATATTGATATGTAAGTTCCTGGAAATTCATTTGCGCAGTGATCAATTTGAAGTTGTTAAAAAAAAAAAAAAGCTTTTGCCAAGATTTAGAACCACATGTACTTGTATTGGATTTTGTTTAATTGTCCTTTTAATAGTAATGCTGCTTTCTTTGTATGTACGTTTTATAGATTGAGTTTGATCATTTGGATGAAAAGATAAATTTCCAGTAGATATATCGAATCTATTAGTGGCAGGAAATTTAAGTGTCATTTCATGCTAATTTTATAAGCATGCTAATGAGGTGTTGAGATGCCATTTCTCTTTTCATGTTAAGCCTTCATTTAGATATAAATCTGGAAAGTGTTGGTTTAGGACTTTCCAATTATCACCTCATAATGCAATTTAATTACTTAAAACCATATTAATATATGCAGGGATAATTTTTTGTTCCATATTATAATATATTGAATTCATTGAACGGATAATCATAATATGATAAGTATATAAATTTTGTTTAAGTTTTCATTTCAGCTAAACCAATTGTGGGATCTCTACCATCTCTCTCTCTCTTGTGATGCAGGGCTTGGCTGATGTCCCCACCTTTTATGTTCTCTTTTTTTATTATTTAATTTGTTGTCCTTTCTTTCTTTAGATAACATTTTCTTTATTTTATTTTATTTTCTTATTCACTAGTCGAGAACTTAATAGAGGTTCCTTAACCCTAAAATTCATATTTTGGTGGAGTTTAGAAAATAATATCAAGGCTGTTCTTCTATATCCTATAATCCTAGACTTCTCCGGGTGGTGGCCACCTTCTCCTCTTCCTCATCCTCCTTAGCCGCAGGTCACTGCAGCCAGCGACAACCCCATCCAGCCTTCCAGCCGCCATATTCCTCCACATAAATTCAAAAGCATAGAACCATATAGTCGATTAAAACTCTCACCTCAATAATAATAAAAAAAAGATTATACTAAGAGGCTGTTTGGTTGGCTGCAAAGTAAATACAGTGTAAAGTAAATGCAGTATAAAGTAAATACTCAAGGTTATTTGGTTGTCTGTAAAGTGAATATAGGGAAACAGTTTTTTTTTTTTTTTTTTGGTTTGGTTGAGTGTATGCAGAGTAAAATAAAATCAGAGATATATTTGGATGAGGCATTTAATCGAAAAAGTAGTGTGCCTATTCCTAAAGTGCGTGCTGTCCGAATCAACCAGATCACAAAAGACACACCTTATAGCTCCAGGAACTGCACTAGGTGGTTCGGTGATCTTGCGGCTACAGGTTCCCTCACGGAGTGGCCAAATCAACCAGATTATAAATGTTGTGTTGCTCAAAAGTGGAAAGGCATGTCTTGGAGAACTGATGTTGTAAGAATTGAACTTGCATGCTATCCACTTCGAGCAGGCTAGACCCATCTAGACTGCTTGCTATTGGATTCCAAATGGTCATCCGCGTCATCCAACTAGTTCGCTGTGTTTGGGAGATTGGCACAGGGACTGTAGGTGTCGGGTTGGCTGTGGCTTGAGATTTTGTTTTTCCCTACATGTCCGACTTTATATCCTTGTGCAAGCAAAGGAAAGCACTCGAACTTATTTCTTGGTTATTGTTGTGGCCGCTAAGAAAACTATTGCTACCATTATTATGATTTCTAACTTCTCAAACTTAAAAACATTGTTCGTCAAGTACATATAACTCTCTGCTTCGCTATTTTCTCGTATTGTGCATCATTCTTATTTTCGACATGAATTTATTGTCTTTGAAGCCTTTATTAATATCCTTTAATTACAGTGATGATCTCGAGCTTTCTCTATCCTGCATTATGGTGATGAAGTAGTACAAGAGATCTTTTGCTTCTATAAGCTTTACATATTATGATTTTCTTTTAAAATTCGAGTGCTTGATTTGCAGCGATTCACAATTCCTTAAATACTAAGAAAGCACACTTACTAAATCGAAGGCAAGGACATCTATCAAAAAGGACTTATAAATTCACCAACCTCACTTGATCAATGATCCCAGAAGCTTGAAAATCATCAGAATACTTCTGAGGGAAGGCACTCATCATTTCTTCTTGCTTCTCTTCTGCTGAATACTAGATAGATTTGGAAAGTAAAAGTGTTTGTTGTGTTATATGAACGTGTCTAAGCTATTGGAGAAGCCAAGATTATTGCGGCTTCAAGAAAAGTTTTGGCTGTTTCTTCTTCCCCTATCTATCAGGTTTACAAAATAAACCTTTTTCATGCAATCTCTGGATCTGTTCATGTTGTGATATTTGTACCATTTTGCCTGGCTAGGTTCAGCTTTTCATCATCTTTATATGGTTCCAATGTAAAATGTATATGATTAATTAAAACATGTAGTTTTCTGTAATCTATGATTATAGTGCATATTGCTTAAAATCTTGATTAGAATTTCTTGTATGCAAATGCCTTTGTACTAACCGGGAGTTGTTCCTTGTGCAGCGATGCTGTGTTCCCTCATACGCACTTCACTGCTTAGCCCAGCACAAAGTATCCATTGTAAACAGGTGAAGTATGTTGATGCTGTTTTAATCATCATGCACCAATCCTTGAAATTGAATCTCATGGAAATTTTAGTTTGTAAAAGCATATAATTAGATTGTTCTGCTCTATGAATTTGTATTAGATGGAAATTATTATTGATAGTCAAATGAAAAGGTTTCATGTCTATTACAAATCATTAAAAAAAACGAAAGTGGTTGATTATAGTAAAGTACACTATGTTAGCAACATGATAATTTGAAGAAATTTAGGCTTCGCTTGGGACGGCTTTCTTACTGCTTCGTAAATCAACTTTTTAGTAAAAAATTAAAAAGTTGCTTTAAGAACAGTATAAAAGTCGTCCCAAACGAAGCCTTAGGGTATGCATGGGATTGTTGCAACGTTTTATAAAGTTGATCGTGAAGTTGATGTAAAAAAAAATATTTTGTTATTATGATTATATAAATCAGTATTTCTTCATTGAAATTTTTGAAAAGCAGTGCAAAATTATCAAGAAACCAGTGTCCAAATGAAATTGTGAATGTTGTCTGAAAAGCAAAGCAGCAGTAAAGCTGCCAAATAGATCCTTACTAATTTGGCATAAGAATTATTTTCATTTCATGTTGTTTTTTATCTTTTATTTTTGGGAAAATTTAAGGTGGTGGATATATGCTGACTAGTGAAAGTAATCATAGCACGGAATGTGCATAGAATGTTAGTTTTGATAACAAAAACTGCATAAGTTTGTGCACCTGATATAATTAGTTATTTGGTTTATTGTCCTTTGTGAACGATAATATATTATTATTCAAATTCCTCTAATCTGTAGGATCAAAGTATAGTGTCCCTAATTGTTGATGCTTTAGATTTTTATTAATTTAAGATGTTTTTTATTAATCTTCTTTTAATCAAATATAAGTATTAGAGAATTGTGAACTATCTAGTCCCTTCGATGTTGCATGGAGCTCAACAAAGGGAAGCGATTCAATCGTGATTGTTTGGTGATGGATGGATGGATGTAGGAGTGTAAACGAGTCAAGTCGACTTGCAAGTTTTCTTGAGCTCGACTTGTTAATGAGTTTGTGAGCCGAGTTTATTGAGTTTTGAGCTTGAGCAGATCTACGAGCTTGTTGGTTAATCGAGCTTGAGTTCGATTGAGTTGATGTTCGACTCATTGGCTTGTCGAGCGGCTTGAATATGTGGATGGCGGAAACCAAATGGGAATTGAAAGAGGAAGCCAAAGTAGGACGAATCACGTCGGTTCATGACGCCGCGTGAGTTGGCTTGCGAGCTTGCATTTATTGCCATGAGTTTAGTTCGTGCACAACATTTGAGCTTGAGTTCGAGCTCACGATTTGCTCGATGAGCCAAGCATGAGCTAAGCATGACTCGAGCTCGTTTCGACTCGTTTACACCCCTAGATGGATGCGATGAGCACATCTTTGTAAAATGGCATTAATTTTTTCTTTGTATTCATCTTGATCAGTTCATCATAGTAATAAAAGGTGTTGCTTGTGATTATTTTTTATCTTATTTTTATATTGTATTATATATTTATTACATTTTGATGTAAAATAAAAAATGCTTTATAACTGTTTCTCTCAAAATTTTATTGAATATCACATATATCTATTCATTTTGCATATTGGATAAGGGTGTTGTTGTCATAGCTTGGAGAATTTGGTAGATTAGATGGCGATGTAATCAACTTTTAATTTTTTATTTTATTTATTTTTTTAAATTTTTTTGTTTTTCAAAATTTTTTTTAATGGCTATTTAATCAATTTGGATTCATGCCGGGTAGGTCAACTATCGAAGCCATATATTTATTAAGAGGTTTGATGAAGAAATATAGAGAAAATGAGGAGGAGGTCGATTAAATGGCGATGTAATCAACTTTGTTGCAGGGTTTCCTAATTTGCTGATGATGGGAAGGAAGTTATTCGAAATTACTTAGTTTTATCACCATTGCTCATCAACCTCCGCATTCGCCATAAACATTTTATATAATATTCAATAAAAATAAAAATAACGGTTGTTTAAGATGTCAAATATATTTTTCTTTTGAACTAAAGGAATAAATAAATAAAAATTCAAATAAAAATAGAAAGTGTTTTCAAACGATCCCTGTTTATAAAAAAAATGTGATTTGTTTTTGAAATTAAAAGGACAAAAATATAAACAAAATTTTGATCAAATATATTTTACCTAAAATTAAAACAATAAAATAAAAATAGAAATAAAAAAACGATGACAAACTGACCCTAAGCTATTTAACCAGAGGGGAATTTCTAATGTGTTTTATCAAATATAATTTTATTTAGAGACTTTTGATTTCTTTTGAATATCCATTGCAAACTTTTCTGATTTCATACAACATGGATGGGATCCCTTTCTAAAAGCTATTGATAAAGTAAAGCTAGCTTTTTTTAGGCTTCATTTGGTATTATTTTTTTATCGCTTTTTAAAGTAATTTTTTAGAAAAAAAAAATTTTGAGTTAAAAAATTTTGTAATAAAAGCTACTTAAAAAAAATAGTAAAAAAATATTGCACTTAATCAACTGAAATAGTTTTAGCTTTTATTTATGCTTTACTTTGCAATGAAGATAACCAAATATATGATCAATAACTTTGATCACATAGCACAAGGGTGGATATATGATTGTATTATAACTTGCGAATAAAATTTCTTATAAAAATTAAAATTTTGCGGATTTTATACAAAGGTTTTACATCTTGTGAAGATTATGTATTCCAGATTTTATGATTTTTTTCATGAGCATAAACACTCACAATTGAATAATTATCCAATGACAGAGAGAAAATGATTATAATTAAGACAACTAATTTCTTGGCTAATTTCACCCTTCTTGATTTAAATAAATAAAATGGCAAGTGGCGAAAACCAATTGTGGACTCTATGAATCAATGTAGTAGCTTCAAGAGAATGAGGAGTTGGGATTGCCATTGTTTTAAGAGTTATTGTAGGAGTTGTGTTAATACTTAACACATATTTAAAATTAGATTTCATGTCATCAACAATCAAGCCGAATATTGGCTCTAGTTGTAGGACTAAAATCTGTGTTTGATGTAGGACTAATGCATCTACTTCTAACTTTTGGCACATAACTTATAGTTAATCAAATCAATGGGCAATATAAAGTTCACAAAAGAAATCCTAGAAAGGCACCTCTTTAAGGTGAAGATAGAAATTGACCAATTTGAATACTTCAAGATATAACATCTTGTGAGGGAAGAGAACTAGCTTGCCGACTTGCACTCTTAGTCGAGGAGCTTAGATGGTCAACCTGGCTTAGAATTATACCATCCCAACATTAAAAAATAGAGGTAATGGGACTTGAAGGAGAATCCTCATTGAGTTAAGTAAATCAATACATCTAATACCTAAATTTTGGAGAAATCTCATCCACCTTAAGTGATTGTCAAAGATTTAAGATTGAGGCTGTCCATAACTTACTAGTGGGAGGTGAGAGTTGTTCTAAAGGTTGGTCACATCATTAAATTTAAGGTGTGTAAAAAGGAGTGAAGTTAAAAAATCTTGGGAGAGTTCATTTAGGAGGATGTGGTAGACATTAAAGGGGGAGAACCTTAGCGCACATGATCTTTAGGCATGAGTATTTCTGGCCAACCCTGATGCTAAAGCTTTCTCTAAAAAAATGATTATTGTGTCAAAAATTTACTCCAATTCAACTACATCCATGTCATAATCTATAGTATATTTCCATTCCTTGTCCATTAGCCATTTAGAGGATGGATTTGATACGGCCATTCTCAACCTCTAATGGCTAAAGGAGATTCAAATTGGTATTAGTTGACTACTATGAATCCCTTGGCAAATACTAATATGAATGTTTTTCATAACTTTATATGGTCTATCATTATTTGTAGATATAAAATCCTAGTGATGATAATCATGGACGATGGGCCACATTTATCCAATAAAAAAAAATTAAAAAAAATGTCAATTATAACAAATTTGTCTAAAGCTTGCCTTAGTTCATCACCCTTAAATCAATGAGAAAGTTGAAAGCTAGGAAGAATGTTGAAGGGACTAAAAGAAAATGAGATGATGTACTACCATCCATTTTTTGTCCCCTGAGAACCACACCTTTCTCAAAAACAAGCTAGAATCACTTTGTTCTTTCTCATGGCCGGATAGAATGGTTAAGTTTTATTAATTAAACATTAAAGAGAAGGCCTTCCATATTAAGAACTTGTTTTTGAGAAACATGGATGCTACAGTTGGGCAATTAATACTCACCAAATTAGTCTTAGCTTGGAAAAGACCTTATATAATCAGAAGTAAATCGACCTAGGATCTTATCAACTCCAGATGTATGTGTAAAAAGAGGCATGAAGAACATGGGCCGAAAAGGACATGAAGATTTTTTATCCATAAAAGAAGAAGATGATCTTAGTCATTAAATTTATGTTAAGATTTTTTTTTTTATAATCCCCATGCATAAAAAAATAAAAATAAAATAAAAAAAAGAGTAGAAGAGAATTTTTTCATTTAAAAAAATGACCTAATAATAATTATCATTAATTCAATTACTCCAATGAATGCTTGATAATTATAGTACAAAGAGAGACGAGTTGAAGTCTCAACAACTTAGACTACAACTAGCACCACAACGTTTAATCCAAGCATCACAACACTATGTCCTCCAACGCTGCAGTTCTCTGAAGTAGAAGTTTCTATATTCAAGATAAAGAGCTTAGCACCGTATCACCAGATTATCCAGCATTGTAATGCCAAATCACTTAGCGTCACATTAGTGTGATAGTTTTTAGTTGTGAGCTGAAGAAAAGCGATGATTTACTAAGGGCAATGTAGTGTTGTGGGTCGTGCTAGTCAACTTGTCTACTATTTTGAAAAGCACCTTAAATAAGTGATTTAATTGGAAAAGATGAGACTTTCATAGAGGAGTTTCTGGGGCAATTTCTGGGGAGATTTTGAGAGAGTTTCTTACCCACTCTCTCCTATATTTTTCTTTCAATAAGGGATTATTGTATGTGTGTTTGTAGATTGCGACAGTTTTGGAGAAAACTTACATATCAGAGCAAGCCTTTGCTTCAAATTTTTATCTTAGTTTGATTGTTTCACTTGTGAAATTTTCATTTAGAATTGAAATAAAAATCTTACTGTTTAATTTGTTAAACATG